ACTCATGCCACTTTTGTTAAAATAAACTTCGGGGGCTAATAACGAAAAAGTCTTTCTACCTCGATAATAAAACCATCCCCATAGCCCATAATTGGATTCCAATATCTAATACTATTATAAAATTGTGTTGTCATGTTAAAACATTTCTTTTACTAAAAAAAGGGAAATCAAAGAAAAGGAAACCTATTTCTAAAAAAAATAGGTTTTGGGATTGTTTGGTTGGCTAAAAAGGGAAGGAAATCAAAGAAATGGAGATGAGATGAGATGAGATGAGATGAGATGAGTTGTCACCTTGATGTGAGTGATTTTTTAAGAAAACTTGTTTTGATGTTGTTTGGTTGGCGGAAAAAATAAGGAAATGAATTATAAGAAATCTATTTCTTGTAATAGGTTGTTTTCTTTTGTTTGGTTATTTCTTAAAAATAAGAAAATAGATGAGATGAGATGAGTTGTCATTATATTATTGGATGATGTGACCCACACTTAAGGAACTTGTTTTCCTAGCTTTTTGGGAGGAAAACAAAGAAATAAAATGTTAATTAGATGAGATGAGTTGTCACAATCTTATTGGATAATGTGAGTGGTTTTTAAATATGAGAGGAGATGAGTTGAGTGATGTTGTGGATAAAAATATTATTTTAATTAGATGAAAATGTGTGAAATTGTACTTTTTGAGATTTCTTGGTTTTCATTTCTATTTTTTGGTTTTTTAGGAAATAACCAAACAGCCCCTAAAAATACTGTCTGAAACACATACATGCATACATAAAACACATTCATCCATACATAAACAATACCTCATACATACATAACCCCCAATTAAATGCATTATTATTCATAACCCCTAAAATAATTTCACTATGACTAAGTTGGTTATATTTTTATAACCTCCCATTAACATATTAGTCTCTTATAATTCTCACTAATTATCACTATTATAATTAAAAAAACATTACAACCATTCATCTTCTTACTAAACTACTATAAATCATAAAAAATCTCTTACAAAATGAATACATCGTATGCAACCCTCATTATCTCCATTGCACCTCCTCAAATCCTTGAACGTCTTTTTGTCCCGATTTTGCCTATTTGTATTTCATTCTCTGCACAACCAACCACTACTTACTATCTCTTATTATAACATGATGAGATTAGCATGATTTATAGTATTGAAAGATTCTTTGTCTATCTTTTTATAAAGAATGTTTCAACTGATTTTTTACAATTAGAATTTCTATTTGCTTGATATGGCTTATTATAATTTATGTCTTCATTGGTCAATCAAGATTTTTGAAGTTTGTATTTAATTTTTATTTTGAGAACCATAAAACCCAATCAAGTATGAAATTCATGATTTAACAAAAAATGTTTTACTTAAAATATTTTATTTAAAGTAATAAAATACATAATTTATTTTAAAGCTATAGTTGTAATGTGCTATAAAAACTTAAGATGGTGCAAATGAGTAAAAAAAGTTGGACATAATAATAATGTCTCACTTATAACCTCTTCATATTCATAACCTCTCCATTAATTACCTATAAATTTTTTATTTAATCTCTTACTCATAACATCTCCTAATCTTTAATTCCATCCATTAATCTTCATCACTAACAATAATGAAACCCCACCCCCACCCCCAACAAACACTATCATTTAATTTCAGCAGAAACTAAATATACTTAATTTTTATAACCTCCCAATAACAAATTAATCTCCTACTCTTTCTTTCTTAATTCTCACTAATGATCACTATCATAATCATAGAGAATATTTCAACTGTTTATTTTTATACTAGCCACTATAAATCACAACTAATTTGTTTAAAATTTTTTATGAATTCTCTTTTAAGTATAATTTCCTACTTCATTATTAACACTAATAAAGTAAGATTTTGAAATAAGCTAAATATAGAGTAAGGCTTCGTGACATGTGTGTATTATTTAGAGCTCAAGGTCTTAAGACTAAATTCTAGAAATGACACATCAAGTTACTTTACTTCCAACTGATCAAGTAAGATAAATAATTGAAGAAGAAACAAAGAGTAGTTTCCCATATTTATATGAATGAGTTTGAGATTTTTAGGTTCTTCTCTTATTATGTATATGCAAAGATCTTTAGCACTAGCATAATATGCACATAGAAGTCCATATTTTCCAGCATAGCGAAGAAAAAGATTACAAATTTTAACGTCAAATAATATCCAGTCTGTTATTGTGGAAATTAACTTTGAACTGAGGATATACTTTGGTCATACCCATCATGATGGTTCCTTAAAAAATCATGTACTGAGTTGTAAAATCCAACCTTCACAAAAAATTTTGTCTGATTGAAATTTGTAGGTTCAACTTAAAAATATTGTTAGAGCAAAATAATGACACACATTACTGTAAGACCCCATAACTTTTTTTGATGATGTTTATTCTTAACAATTGAAGAAGCTCTGATTAAGTCTTTTCAGAGGACTATATAGATTTTGGTTAATTTTTTAGCTCTGATAGAGTATTTTCTTAGTTGTCATAGAACATAAAATTTTTCATATTAATACAAAATATTTAAATTATTATTTTACAATCAGTATGTTATTTATCCTTCCTAATGGTATAACTATATTACAAATTTGTGAATAAAAAACCACAGCATGTGCTAAATTATAAACGGGAGACATTATGTTAAGTTATAAAACAAATAGAATATGCTTTTTAGGTTCACAAATTGAATAACGACTTTCATGTATTCCATAAGTTTTATTGGAAAGCTCTGGTTTCATAAAACTAAAATTTTAGAAAAATTATAGAGTAAACCTTTAAATTTGTAAAACAACCTTGAAATTTCATAATTTTATAGATATGCTATAAAATTTGCAAAAAGGACCTTGAAATGTCACAAATAAACCTCATAAAAGATTATATTTACTCTAGGATTTTAATAATAAAAAGATAGCAAAAATCCTCAAATTACACCTAACACCAAATTTATAAATTAATCCAACAACGTGTAACGCACGTGCACTATTCTAGTTTTATTAAAAGCCCAAACCAACCCCAACGCCTTAATGTAAATCGTAGTTCTAGGCTCAACCTGTGAGGGTTCAACTGTCACAAAACCATTCCTTAAGCATGCAAAGGGCATGGTTTTGATTCGTCCCCACAGAATCGTTCCCATAGATCTAAAATGTGGTAGTGGTTGATGAAGAAAAAGATGTGTTGGCCTCTTTATTTTGATAATGTTTAACAAACAATTTATCACTAATGTTGTTTGTCTTTGTGTTTGTGTATTTCTATTTATTATAGACAAACAATATGTTGGAGGATGGATGGAATCGAGCCTTAATGATCATATCCAATGGATGTTAGCGGAATAGTAGGTGAAGCTATGTACAATTCAAGTTGAAGATCCAAGTTCAAGCTTCATCTGTAAGATTACCAAGTTAAGCTATTGAAGATCAAGATCAAGTTTGTGTAATTTAGTTTAGGAGTTTATATTATGTGTGTTAGTACCTTAAGCTCAATATAATACACACACACACATTCATTGGTTTCCATGTATATATATAGTTATATATATACATATATGTTTTGGTTTAGCTATATAGATATGAAACAATATATATTTTCATATATACTTATTTATATGTTTTATATTCTATTGTATTTAGAAAAATATTATGTTTTTTGGTTTATATGGTTTATAGACTTAACAACTATAGTTTATATTTTTTATCAAGTCTATAAAATAATTTTACAAAGCTTCAAATCTTGGTTTATGTCAAAACATCAAAATACAAGTATCTCATGTTTTCATGTTTTGGACTATTTTATAAAATAATGATATTTTTCATTTGGGAAATTCTTTTTATAAAAATCAGTTTTTGTAGCTTGTGTATTATCATGTCTACAATCATTTTTCAAAGTTTCATAATTTTTGGAATTTATTTGATATTTTTAAACAGGGTTTTAAAATCAGAAAACAGTTTTCAAATCTGGAATTTCATATGTCACTTTGCGGTCAACCGTCACGGTCGACCGCCCCTGAGTCTAGAGACTCAGGAAGTTTTTTAGAGGCTCGCGGTCGACCGTGACGGTCGATCGGATGTTCTCGCAATCGACTGCCACGGTCGACCGGATGTTTTTCTGTGGCCAGAATTTGTCTCAGGAGTTGTCGACCGTGCAATTCTCACGGTCGACCGCCGAACTGTCAATCAGGTTCCAACGGCTCTTTTCCTGAACTGTTTTCCTTGGGTTTTTTGGTCTTCTTGGGCTTTTTGGTCTTTTCTATTGGGTTTTTGGCTGAGGTTTTGGGAGGCAATAAATACCCCATTGATCTCATCTTTCATAATCATCCAAGAGAATATTTTAAAAGAGTTTAACAAGGATTTAAACTTGTTTTGTGTTTGTTTAAATGAGTGTTTAAGAAGCTTTTAAGTAATTAAGAGTTTTGGGTTTGTGAAATCAATTTCACAAGAGCTTGAGGAGATCCTATTGGTGCTTGAGCATCCAACCATCCTCCCTTAATCTCTTGATCTATTGAGAAGTTTTCTAAACTCTATTTCTAGCTTTTTTATATATATATTTGATTATCATTGTTATTAAGCTAGAATTATATTGAGTTTAGTTTTGATTTATTTCTCTTTGCTTACACACACAACCATTGAGCTTATTGTATTTACATTCATAGTATAATTGGGTTGTGGGATTGTGTAACCTAGAGAGTGAGCTTATAATTCATTCTCATCCATTGTAGAGAACAAACACTTTGTATTGTGCCTTATTGTGAGATTCACTTTGTATTACACTAAGTACACCGAGAGGAGTGTGTGGTGAGAGTCGGGGTTGCTTCCAAGAGGAGTTGAGTCTGTTGACAAACCTAGGGAGAGGTTGTATCCGAGCACTTGAGGCAGGACACAGAGAGACCAACACTTAGAGGGTGTGAAGTGTAGTTACATTATGGTATTGTATGGTGTAAACGTTATTCGAGTGAT